TTATTTGGAATTAAGCGCTGTATTACTGCAACTGGAACAGCGTGAACGAGACGTGATAAAGTAAGATATATTTATTGACAATTTTTACATTGAGAAACAATTCACGTTAAACCATTCAAACGTTTTTCTTTTCCTTTATGTTATATTTGTAGAAGAGAACAACAATCGGGATATAAGCAATGTAAAAAACGTCTTGTACATCCACTTCTGAAAGCACAGGAAAGATTATATCGCAGAAGAAATCCTACAATACAGTTCTCAACCTCTTCAACTCCTACTACACCGTCGTCTCCTGTTGATTATCCATTAAGCCCTGCTAAAGCAACCACTTTTACACAGTTGAACGAAGCGAATCAACCAGAAACTGTATTAGCATCGAATAATAATAATTTTAAGCAATGGAAATATAGACATCGAAGAGTTGGATCTGGTTGTGGTGCAAACTGTAGTCCAAGATCGAGTCCTCATCGTGAGAGAAAGGTAGACACAATTTTATGGGGTTGGGGGAGTATTATTTATATACTTAATATTTACATACTTATAATGCATTCATAAATGTCTTATTAATTTGAAGTAATTCTGTTATATTAAAAAAAAAAAAAAAAAAAAAAAAATATGTAGAGTGCCTCATAATATAGGAATAGTGAAGGCGTACCATTTATTCCAGAGCAACGAAATAATGGCGAGACTGGTTGACAATCAGACTCAAACAGACTTAATGGATATAAGTGGAAACGTTGTGAATTCCATTAAAAATTCAATGAATTCTTCAATGACAGAAAAATCTTTAATAGATGGTATCGATAAACAGTCTATGGCCGAACAATCTATAGAATATTTCAATGGGAATCCAATTTTGTCTGAAACTCATTGTAAAATGCAGTCTAGTTCTTGTTCTAGTCCAGACCATGAGCATGAAAATAATACGAATGGAAATGAACGATTAGCAGACTGCAGTGACGATGATAATCTTGAGACTCTCGGTAGAAAAGTGACGGAAATTATAAATGCTAATCGTCTTATTTCACCTATGGATAATGGAAATTGTGATGAAGTAATAAAATCACATAGGTATTAACAACTTTTAATCTTAGATATTATCTGTGATTTTATTATATTATTTCATAAGCAGAAGTCAATAAAATAAATGTTTTGTTTTGTAGCAGGGCTAAAGATGAGCCTACGAAACTGCCAGCGAACTATTGTTCCGTCGCGAGTACATTAAATATATCACAAGAACAGTCTGAGAATAGAGTAAGGTCTTGTTCGGAATTTGTAAATACTCTATGCGATCGTGAAGAGGATGATGCTTGCGAGGAAAGTTGGTCTGATGAAGAAGGAGAAGACCCAAATTATACTTATAGTTATACTCTTAGACGTAGAAGGTACGTTCATTTTTAAAATAAATTATATCCAAATGGGAAAGTCCGTGTGATCTTAAAGTCAATAGAAATGTGTATCTACATTTTCAGTGTTGCAAGAAGGCCAATTGGTCCAGGTTGTAGATTAAGAAGATTTAAACAAGCAACCGTTAGAATAGAAGGAGTATTGGCCTCTGACGAGGAGAATACTTCAGAATATTCACATCCTCCGTCCAGTCAATCCTCTACATTAGAAAGTAATCCTGACGTTCAAAGGGTCCTTCGCAATATTCATCATTCACAAAAGGTAAATTTAAAGATAAATATAAACGACTATACTTTACATGGTCAATTGAAAATTATAAATTTAAGTCATTTTACATTTAATGTATTCATATCGTTTAACAATTATTTAGAGAAAAGGAATACATGATGGATCGGATTCTTCAAGTCAATCGGAAACGGATGAAGTCAGTGAGATTACTATTGCATCTCAACCAAACAATGCTAACATAATAAGGTTGAAAAGTAATATATAGAGTTCGTATTAGTATCATTTTTACATCTCATTTAAGAATGATTTCCAATATATAATGTCACCTGCAATATTGGTCATTTAAGTAATCATATTTCATCTATTCTTATTTTTTTACAGCTTATATTACGTATTCCAGATGCTTGTCTATTTCAGGGTATATATTTCTTAGATTGTATCGGCCATGCATAATTTCTAAGTAAAACAAAATCTATATAATTTCATATATATCTATAGATTATACAAATAAGATCGTAATAAATAGAAATAACAAATATGCATACAAATATATAAAATAATATCAGGACAGGAATTTGAATTTTTATTAAGTTTTACCATGTTTGTTAAATTTTACAATTTTGAAAAAAATCAATACATTTATTCAATTCGTTCAATTCTTTTTCTACAATCGATAATTCAAATCATCAAAGCTATGAGGGTGTATTTATTTAGCAATTGAATATTGAGACATCTTTTTTATATCATAGATATAGATCATATATAGAAAATTATGTATTTAGTGCATCAGGTTGAACGCATTAACAATGTATACATTATGATTTATTATTGATGATTTACTATCAGTAAATCATCAATTCGTCAATTCATCTTGTTCCATGCAAGATCATTTCATTTCTTTATGATTATTTCCTTTATTTATAGTTCCTTTGTGTTGTATAACGTAAAATTGTACCTTTGTAAACGACGTGGAAATAATTTTTTGACATAAGTTCAACTGATATAAAGATACAATTATAAAAGTAGCTTTTCTTCTAGTATACCAAATAAACATTGTCTTTGGTAAGTCATAATCAGTAATGGTACAATGCGATAAGACTTTGGATTATATATCCTGTACAAATATCTGAGTGCATTAACAAATTGATCATTCCAGTAATTTGTATGATGGGTTTAACAAATTTATTTTGTATAAACTATTTAGAACAATATCACAATTTCATTATGAATAGCATGCGAAAGAAGTAGATTAAATAATAGTATGTTGCAAACGTTTTGCATAGGAGCAGAGGTTTCACATTAAAACGGATAATGAAAGTATTTTTCACGAATAACGAAGAGAAAAACAAATGTTAACGATAATTAGGTAATTAACGTGACACGAGTACTGATGGCCATTTGTATAAAGCGCGTCAATTTATATAAATTCGAAAAGATAGTTGCTATATATATATATATATAGAGATATATGAAATATAGTCTTTCAAAATAATTCCTGAAACATAATATGGCATCTAATAGAATTTTGATTATTCGAAATATTACATTTAAGTGTATAAACAAATTGAAAAGAACTTATAATAAAGTATTATTATTAATTTAATTAAAATATTCGTATATTTTCAATTTTTTAAAAATAATGATTGAAAAAATGATTTCCTTTATAAATGCAATATTATGATAAAGTTGAGTATTGTCATTGAATTTGATTATCCGAAAAAATGCTTCATTTAAAAGAAATCAATCCCGTAGTAGTTTCGGATAATCGAGGTTCTAAATATATGTTCTTACATGATTCTAAATTTAAAGAAACACCAATATAAAATGGAAAAAAAGAGATAAATATAAAAAGAGAGAATAAATAAGAGCTGATAAAAGCAATATATATGTACAATTGTCATTAGAGATATAACGCGCGGGTGACATATTCAATATTAGATATATATATATACGCACACAAATACACACACACACACACACACACATACACATTGTACTTAATTGTTTATACTCATTCTGTTTCCCAAAGCAGATAATTCATGCATTTTTCCTAATTTTTAGTCATTAGATCATCGTTAGAACGAAATGATTCTTATATATATATATATATATATACATATATATATATAATATATATATATGTATATATATATAAAGTATTGAAATCCGTCATTTTAGTCTAGCTTACCATTTAAATAAATCATTTTATATAGAAAAATATAAAAGTCATAAAATCTGAGTTCAGAAACAAATTTTGATGATAGCGTTTAATTGTATTCTGACGATATACTCATTCTGTCAAATTACAAGCAATGAAATTATTACGCAGCTCTCTTATGCGCGTCTGACTGTAAAATATAGTTTACTCTATATTTTACAACGTAATATTTCGCATCCATCTATTGTACCTGCTTTGAAACTCAGATTGCCTTAATGACAATTATTATATGTCTGTAAATATGGACAATACAATGTAGATTTAAAAGAATAGTACTTTAAAATAATAGGCAATGTATTGATGTGCTCAATTGATTAAGATGATTTATAAAGTGTGTAGAGGTATACTTTGTATAAGAATTATATATGTTGTATTCAACATATTTATGCTGATACCTACACACATGTGAGTGTGTACATTATCCCTTTCCATGCATTGGCAGCTAATTTGATTAAGTCTATTATTCTTTGATAATAGAAAAATGCTACACAAAAATTAATGTTATGTATAATAAAGTTCATTAATACGGCCTAACATGCGTGACTTTGTGATTTAATTACTATTTTATTAAACTAACATTAATTTAAACATTTTTAAGTATATCATTATATGGTACATATACATTATACGTATTAACTTAGAACATTATATATCCAATATTACTATAAGAATATTGCAAAAAGTACCTGAGAAACGAAAGGATTTTTTTTTTATATCTATATAAAAAATACAACGGTAGTTTGTATTTTGCAATTAACAATTCTCCTAAACATTTATAGAATCATCGTCATTGTCTCACTCTTTCTATTTAGGGAAATTTTTAATATTTTTATCTATTGATATGAAAAAAAAGAAAAAGAAGATAAAGAAAAAAAAAAAAAAGAAAAAAAATTAGAGAAAACGATAATTATCGAACAATGGATCATTATATTTTATTCTAAATAACACATTTTTTATATTCATAATATTCATTCTCTTTACGAATCTTTTTTATAACATTTAACAACGATACATGTATACTTTTGAAACATTAAAATATAGTTTGAAATTATTTGTTAACTAAAATTGATAATTAATACGTTGATGTATAGTATATTATTTTTAAGAAGTCATACGCAATATAAATTAAGTAAATAAGTAAATGTAATAAGCTTAAAAGATTTAATTGTTTTTGATCGCATATAACTCTACATAACTTACAACACATCTTTCTTTAAGAAAATTCGAGATAATTCGAGATGTATGTACATTATAGTTCAAATATGAACTTGGTAAATAGGTACATGCATGAGACTTTTTGTTATCTTTACAATATTTATAACGCTATACTCTTATAAAGAGAAACCAAAATTTAAAGAGAACAAAAATATCCATAAAAAGTGATATTTAGATCATAAATAAATAATTACAATTGATTTAAAAGTCTTTAGTCATATAAATGAAAAGATCCATTAAATATGTTCTTATTTGCAGAACATTTTCGAACATGATTCGAACTGATTAATTAATTTATCAATAATGATTTACCAATAAAAGGAATTATGAAGAAATTCTGTCGTAGATTTGTATAACGACGAAGCACTTTGTCTTAAGCCACTAAATAAAGATACGACTCCTTCTTTTCCATCTTCTTGCTCTTCTTCTTCCGGTAAGTATTCTGGCATATTTTCAATGTCATCCGTATCTTCTTTATGGGTCTGAGACATAGAATTTTCATTGATTTTTTCAATATTTTTACATAAGTGTCAAATGGAAATTTAACAAAAAGCAAATTACCAATCTAACTAAAAATTCTTGATTGAATTTATTTTTTGTAACTAGCCATGCCTCCATGTTGTCTAAATTTTCTTGTATAGCTTCAGCAATTTGCTTGGCGGTAACATTATTCAATGTACGCATGGTAACACGTTGATGTTCAACATCTATTACAAGAGATATCAATCCCTCAATTTTGATCAATGTTGATTCCAGTTCAGATCTAGTCTCCTATTTTTAATATTAAACATAAAGCTCATTAATTAAGATAGCTTTTATTAAAGAAAAAACAAACTTACCGGTAATAAGCCTTGAACATGTAATACAATTACATGGGTTTTTAATTTCTTTCTTTCGATGATCCTGCATCTACTGCGTAAATTATATATAGGTGGTTTCATACGTTCTATGTTATCTTTTAGATGTTGCGCCCTTTTAGATATTTCTGGTTCGCTCAATATAAATCTGTTTACAACAGCATCTAAGGCTTCCCTTATTCCAAAAGTAGAGGTTATGTGTAAATAATTATCAGCATTTTTAATAAACAATTCCAAAATATCTAATGAGAGATTAATAATATCTAAATAAGGTACTTCGAGAATATATGCTATGTAGGACAACACCGTTTTATCCTGTAATAACAAAAATACGTGATAACATTGTATTTATGTATTGAACTGAGAAAAAAAATATATGTTTTACCTTTAAGATTGTGTCATGGTTAGAAAAATCATCTGCTAATTTCTTATATGTTTCTAATGTTGCTCTTATTTCTTTAGGATTATCATATTCTTCCGTTTCCATTTTGTACACGTAACGTAAACGGGAATTATTTTGGAAACCCGTGCACCGCAGTAATGAAACTTAATGATTGAGAACATTCAATCTTCTGAAATGATCAGATATATACATATATATATATACATATATATTTTTTTTTTATTTTCATTGATAAACCAATATTACAGTATGTACCATATTTCACAATATAAACAACAACTTACACTATTTGTCACGATAAAAGTTAAGTAAATTAAACATAATGTAACTCATAAAAATACAGTAGGAACAAAACGTCCTTTTTTTCTTTTTAAGAACCAACAATTATTTGAGTATATATAAAAATAAATTAATTAAATCGACATTAAAGGGTATCACAGAAGGAAGTTGAACGTGCACGTTGCAAACAAAGAGAGCTGGTAGAATGGGTAGTTACTATTTACTTGGCAGAAAACACGAGTTGACTCCTAGCGCCAAACATGCTTTTCCATTTGATTTCTATAACTACATATACGAGTCAATCGTTCATATAGCTAAGAAAACTTTTAATGATAATGAAAAAAAAAAAAGAAAGTTTAGAATCAGTTTTATAGCGATAATAAAAGACAATAAATAATTATATGAATTGAATTGACGTTCATGTAAAAATAATTATAGAAGCGTTAAAGAATAGGCCAAAAAAATTATAAGATCAGAAATGAAAAGAAAAATGATAAAAATTTAAGCAAATTGAAATAAAAATATCGGATTCTATCTATTTTTGTATCAAGTAGTATAATATGGCGTCTAAATCAAACGTATAAATTTCTGTTATATTTTTCACTTATTATATTAGAAAGAAAAAGAACATTGAAATTGTAAAATTTTTACTATACTGATTCAAGATTTTATCATTAATACCGTTTTAATCATTTTTTAATTATTCAAATTTATGCAGATCCCTAATAAAGATTCCTAGTAGTGACGACAGACGGCGCCATAGTTGCATAATTGGCGCGATTTTTTCCCAGTGGCTTTCCTTTATCCGCGCCATATGTGAAAGCCGTATATTTTCTCGCAAAACTATTCGTTTCTTGTAATAATTTATAAGTTGTTGACGATCAATGTGTGTATTCGTATTTTCTTCGTTGAAACTGCTAGACAACGCGTGGAGCCCTCGTTAATTATCCATTAAATAAGAATACGTCTGTTTTTATTCGTGTAAATAAGGAATATACATATATACGCGCACTCGCAAACACACACGTATGTATAACAATAATAAACTTTTATTTGATATATACAATTTTTATTTGATATATGTATAACATAACATATATATATATATATTTTTTTTTTTTTTATAGAAATTTTCGAATTTTTATACAAGGAGATAATTTGTTATGTTGAAAAAAGATAATCCTCGACAAAATTTGTATAATTTTATGACTACAATTTACGAATTATTTCATAAAATGGAATTTAGGTTACATTTTGTCAAATTTTTATTTTGACAAAATAAAGAATAAATCCTCTAATTTTTCTACAAGAGTAAATAGTATATTTTGTTTTAAAAAGATTTCTCAAAATTTAATTTCATGATTATAATTTGTATATTATTTCATAAACTAAATGTTTAAGTTATATTTTATGAAATTTTCCTTTTAAATATGGTATAGCATGTAAATGTGTATCTATTTCTTTATATAAACTTTCTAATTTACATACAAGCAAATAATTTGTTTTGTATCAAAAATATGTCTTAAGAAGTTGATCTAATTTTATTATTTTACAATTTTGAAATAATTTTATAAAATAAATTTTTAGGTTATACATACGCATATGTATATGGGGTAATCCCAAGTATATTAGGATTCAATATTTGATCGGATAAGATATTTTATGATATAAATAATAAATAAGGGAAGAGTGGATTTTTATGATTTTTTAAAAGACAACGTTTCATAAAGTCATAAAACTTTTATGGAGAGAAGAAGGCCATCCGCATGCGGTGCGTCGCATTGCGTTTAGATTTTTGGATGAAATTGTACGAGTTGCCAGTACTAGATGGGTCGGTACTCCATGGTGGGAGCTCTTCTTTGGGTGGGCGTTGCTGGGTCGATACAGGGTGAATATCGTCGTCAGTCGCAAGGAACACATCACAGGGTCGGACGAATATTCTCTTTGCCGAATGTTATTTATATATTTTATTTATTTTTCCAACTTTCATCTCAAAATAGGCAAAAATATGACTACAATGTTATATATAAAAATGATATATATATATATATATATATATATATGAATCGTATCTATTGGTTTGCGGCCATTAAATAATATGTAAGAATTTTCCGTAAAAAATACTAATATTATTTATTTATAAAATTATGAAAATTCCAATATTATTTATTAGCCACAATCCACTACTATAGCATTATATATATATAAACAATATTTTATATTGGATTGGGCCTTACAAATTATGTTTGAATTTTGAGCAACAAAAAAAAAATACTAAAGAAAAAGAAAATTAAAATGTAAAAAGAAAATTTCAACATTATTTATTGGCTAATTTAATACATATGTCATCAATAAAATAATTTGCAAAAATCTTTCTAATCAAATATACATCTTATTTGAACTATTAGAATAAAAAAAAAGTAATTTGTAACCTTAAGGAACAATCTGAATTGTTAGATAAGACACGCGTATCAATGAGCTCTGATATTTTTTCTATCATAACTCGACACTATCATTGATCGGGTTCTCATTGTAATTTAACTATCTTTCTTAATCACTCTTCGAGCAGATTCTCGAGGATTCGTACTATTCATGAAGTTTCATTAATGAATCCCTGACGTTGATAAAAAATGTCTGCTTCTAACAGAATGAGAAAGATGAGTTAGAATGAAACACTTATTACTTTGTTATCTGTGATTGTTATTAAGACGGACTATTTACTAAACAAACAAACAAATGATCCAAGAGAACTTGATACTATGATGAAATTTGTCAATCCATTTTGTACGAAGTATTTTAAAAATGATAAAACTATTAGCCATTCATTTGTAAAATATTCTATATTCTATATAATTAAATGATCAACGGAAATTTATCGGATGCATAAAACGAAGCATTACAAGTTTTTTTTTATATTGCAAACACGGAATTTTTCTTCCAAATATTTTTTTATTAACCTCCAATTTTCTGATTATTAGACCCTTTTTATGAATATTTTTGAAGAACATACCTGTGTGCCTGCGCTCGTTGAGAAGTCAACAAGATGCCCTCGGTAAATTTCCAGGTACGATGAATTTCTGCACGGATGCTGCAGTGTGCACACATCAAGAGACGAACTGTAAATAGGCATACGCTCTGATGAACAAAGCTCGCGAATATCGGAATCGTCTATACACACAACAACAGATAGGTTTATTCAGAGTAAGCAGAATTTCTGTAGAAACTTTAAAAGATATTTATGTGTGTCCTTGGTGTATATATATATATATATGTACAGATATAGCTAATCGAAAGAATTAAAAAAAAAGAGAAAGAAACGAAAATAAGAAATGGGAAAAAAAAATCATTACCAAAACATTTTACAAAATTATGTTGATCTATCTTTCATTTCGAATTCAATGTTACGTTTGACACATTCAATTTTTATCTCCATTATTTTCTATTTTTCTTCCATTCTTGTCTCTTTCTCTTCTTCGTTCATCCATCTATTTTTGATCGTAAATAGAGTCATATATTCGGCCGTAGACATCGAGTCACGTTTTCTCTCAAAGATTTATGTCGATAGAAGATCCGAGGTGAACGAGCTTACCATAAAAAAAAAAAAAAAAAAAAAAAAAAAAAAAAAAAAAAAAAAAAAAAAAAAAAAGTAAATAAATGTAATAAAATTTTATCACCTCTTTTTCTGCGTCATGTTCTTTAGAAAAAAAAAAAACCGTTTTAGTACTAATTCATTATTTTTATACATTTATATGAATGGGAAGTTACACACATTTATGCGATAGATGCAATTTCACGACAGAGAATTACCGATTTCCATTTGTATTCTCTCGGTGTGCAATATGAATCGAGAACTATATAATATATATGTAGACGCTGCATTAGTCACGTTTAACCGTTGAACGCGTATCGGTTATATCGACGAAATATTTTATTATGACATCGATGGAACGTTGATCGGTCCTTTTATCAAGACGCAAAAAGAAAAACTTATGCGATTAATTCTCTGTCGTCGACAAGTACATATGTGATATATTACGCGCGATATGCTTTGCTATTGATTATTTATACGTGTGTACATATATCCGATCAGCAAGCAAATAAATGTACATGTAAATTATCATATATATATATATATATATGTATACATATATTCGTATTCTATTCTAATATAATATAATATTGTAATATTCTCTAAAATGATAAATTCGGAACGTCCAACTTGCAGGTTGTGAAGTATATAACACTAGAGTGTAGTACGCTATTCGTATATTATGTAAGAACGTAGTAATATTGCGACTAGCCTTGAAAGAAATTCCAGGATACGATTTTGCAGGAAAAACCGTAGCAATGTAAGTAGCAGTATTCTCGATGAAGAACGGAACACGAATCCGTATTCTACGGTTGCCAATCAGCAAGATGCGCTGAACGAGAACAAGAAATAGCCGAGTGTTCTTTTCAAAAGGGAGAAACTTTCCAACGATGACCACCGAAGTGGAATATGGTAATACGAGAAGTAAGATCGGTACGAATGCGTTGAGAATTTTCTTCGAATCTAGCTACGTTATGTATTCGCACCAATATACACGACGCTTATGTACTTATATGTCTATGTAAGTGTAAGTCATATCAATTCTACTCTTGAAATGGTATTATTTTGAGAGATATCTCGTTGTTGGAAATGTAACGTTCGATGCACCGTAAACCTATTAAAAGGAGCAATTAGTATCTCTTAATGATGTTTCGTTAGCCAAATAGATAGTAATTTATCTTGCCTTAATTGCTTATCCTCCCTGTTTATCTCTTTTTACATATTTTTATTTTATTTGATTTTAATTAACACCTAGACCATCCATTATTACTTTGTTATTTTTTCAATGATTTTTCACAAAGCTAATTTACATACTTTGACCTAAAGTTTATATCTTTAAGCTACGTGCCATTTTGTGCCACTACGAAATATAAAACAATTCACGCAAACACGCAAGTATGATATTTATCGTACGGCGAACTTACATTATTATTCATCGTTTTCTTAATATCGATGAAACACGCATCTCCATTGTGTATATAGTAAATATTTTTTTTTCCCTTTCTAACAGTATCAATTAATATTCTAACATAATATTTTAATATTTTCATAAAAGATGTAATAATATTTTAAATATATAACAATTATTTTTGCTCTGACAATAATTTTTTGAAAAAAGTTAATTTTCTTATTTTATCGATAAATAATTTTTATGATATATTAAGTTAATTTCGTGATTGCATTTTTTTCTCTTTCTCTATTGAATATTAGTAAAAACAAATGATGATAGATGCTTTGTTAAGTAAGTTTACTTGTTGGTGATTTTATTTCCGATAGAAACTACATGTTTCTCTTTCCAACGAAATCAAAATTGCTGACGTATCTTATTTTTTTTGATTCTGTTTTCAATCTCTAAATATTCTACGCTTTATCGAATATTTTTGTTATAATTTTGTAACGATCGGGCATAGTCTACTATACAAATATGTCTATTTTTAGTAGACATCAAAATTACGAATATTTTTGTTGAATTGTACGTATTGTACACATTGATATATTATTATTTACATGTATATATATATATATATATATATATATATATATTCGTGTGTAACATTCTTATTATTATTATACTTTCCATATGTAACAAGTATACGAAATATTGTTCCAGATAATATCGCAACATGGAAAATGCTAATCATTTGATCCCAAGTTCCAGATTAACAAATGACGTTCTGGAGGTAATAACTATACTAAATCTATTTGCATACTACTTGGGGAAAGTTACGCAGGATAAAATTTGCGAGTAATCATTTCTAATCTACGATCTACGCAACTATTCGAAAAAAGTACCGATGTTTTGCCGAGCTATTTCACTTCTATATAGATAGAAATCTGCATCGTCATAGTTATATCAGAAATATAGTAGAATCATTTGATAAGCAGCGTTGATCAAATATGAACTTAACTATGAGATAGATACTTATAAAGATACTTTCATAATGAAAAACAAAAATTATGAGAGTAAAAGTAATTCATTTCTATCAATGATAATGATGAAACATTTTAACGACTTAGACCGATTTATTAATGAAAAGAAATTATAAAAAAATTCTTACTATAATTTTCTTTCTATTCTTTCATTCATAAATATTCTGGCATGCTTCCAATACCATTCGTATCCTTTTTATGAGTCTACCACAAATGAATCTTCCTAGATGTGAGTAATTATAATTAAAAAACAAAGAGGGAAAAACTTGACAATAGACAGCAAAATGATCGAGGAATTTAGAATGAACAAAGAAAATTGGTGAAGGAAGAATGAAAGATTTGGGATTTAGCGGTAGAACGGGTGCTGACTGAAACGAAATCGTTTCTAGTATGGAGAGTTACCCGTAGGATATGTATGTAGGTACTAGTGAGAATACGTCAACGTTCGCGAGGCCTCCTCTTTTATTCATGAGGACAGGCGAAAAAGCGATCCGGAGTGGACGTTTAAAGTCAATCGATCCGCATCGATGGATTTAAAGCAAATCCCAGTTCTTGGTCGCCACGACATTGGGTCATCTGTCATGCGATCGTTTCACCAAACTACGTGTTCTAGCCCTAGTGACATCGATATTTTCTACGTGAATTTATATCTATTGTATGTACATATCAAATTATTTTTATGATTTATATTGATATATGTATTATACAAAACTATTCACACATTGTGTTTATATGCATTTAACCATAATCTTACGAATTATAATATATACGTACATATTTTTGTTTTCGTACGTACAAGATTATTTCTACAATTTCTTTTATACAAAACTATAAACTATTGACGTCTATATTAAACTGGCCAATAAATGATGTTGAAATTTTTATTATTTCATATCTAAATGAAACATTGGCAAGACGAAAATAATTAAATAAACAGGACTGGTATAAAAACGATAGTATAGTATTGGATTGGTTAACATGCAATGATTTTAATTAAAAATACTATTATTATTTATTTAAATGGAATATTGAACATTTATATATATGTATGTATATATATATATTTATATATCCTAAACGATTGTTTCTCTAGTAGTATAAATTCTCAAGTACTATACGAAGGACAAGTTAGTTGAAAACGATCTCATTTCAAATCCATCCTACGTTCTATAAAAGTTGAATGAAGAAGCTATCAAGTCGAGCGTTCGTTTACTGCTTTCTCGAATCCTTCTCGTGTGCACCGTTAATCGCATTTAATTATCTATTTTCAATTAAGTTCTTAGAGTTAGTGTTAAAATCAAAGAAATAGAAAGAAGAAGAAAAAGAAAAGAACAATGAAAGCTTTCGGCAAGTTAGACAAGTAAGAAGAGTAGTAAGAGGTCGTAAAAAATTTTTGTTCTCTGTCAATGGCATAATCGAAATTAGCGATTTAGAAGCACGGTTCTTTAAAAAGGACGTCAATTACGTTTCTGCTTGATGTTCGGTAAAATCGGTTTGTCTGACTTCGAGAAAGAGAGAGAGAAAGAGAGAGAGGGAGAGAGATAAAGATAGACCGAAAAAACGATCAGTAAGAGAAAAAGAAAAAAAAAAGGAAAAGGAAGAAACGAAGGATCGCAAAATGGGATAAAATGTAAAAGGACTATAGCAGTGGGGGGAAGGGAGAAGAGGGAAAGGGTGGAGGGAATAAAAGAGAGGGTAGTCGTTTTCTCCCCGTAGAAGATGTGGGGAAGAGACGATGGGAGAGCCGCGTTCTCCGGTTCGAACGTTGTCGCGCCTGCGCAATGTTTATCCCACGCACCAGCACGTAATGTCACCGTTGAGCCAGTCTGACGCCAGGCGCCGCGAAGCTATGACGTCACTGGTTCGCGCTTTGCCGACGTACTTGCTTTTCTCGCCAACAACGGTAAGAAGCTCATGAATGAAATCTCGCTATTTCGACGGCTCGAACAACTACGGCCATTTTTCACGAAAAATACGTACTCCTTTCTGCATTCTTCTTGGTTATACAGGAGTAAGACTGACAGACAGACGGACAAACAGACAGACAGAGAGAGAGAGAGAGAGAGAGAGAGAGAGAGAGAGAGAGAGACAGAGAGAGAGAGAGAGAGAGAGAGAGAGAGAGAGAGAGAGACAGTAGCCAATACCGAAAATTCCTGGACCACCTCTATCGACTCGAGACGCAGTCCGATAGTCAAGCCAAACAGTAGAGCTTCCTCTTTCCGCATTGCGATTTTCAAAACGCATAGCATATCCCTTTTCTATCACTAGATCAAGATTATACCGATTTCGTCGGTAACTTTAACATCTTCTTTTCTCATTCGCCTTGTCCATTCTTTCTTCTTTTTTTATAGTTTTCTTTTTTTTGTTTTTATCTTGATCCGATTTTTTTTGCTGCTGAGCTTACCCTCCCTAACGAGTTCTTCTATTTCCAACGACTTAAGTGGAACGTTGCCACCCACATGATACTCGAGTGCTGCTGCCACCCGCGGTTTGTCAATATCTGCTGTAGTTTATGAATGGAACTCTATGTACACCTACGATCCAGGCGCACACGCGCGCGAGTGTTATCGCGTCGATAACCAGTTGCGCCGATTTGAAAAAAGAAAAATCAAATCGAAGCAATTCTTTCGTTTATATCTCGATTCTTTCCGTGATCGAACTATCTCGATATTTTTCTTTTCTTTTTTTCACTATCTCTCCATTTCCCTAGAATATGCTTCGTTGCATATGAAAAGAAATGCATTCGATCGAAGCTCGAGCTTATCCTATTCTATTCTCCTCAATTGTTATCTCGATTCGACGGCTCATTCCGCCAACAAAATTCAGATTTCCGAATAGCATATTTTTTTTCTCTCTTCCTTTTTCTTTTTTGTACATTTTCTATTGTAAATGAAAGCGCATACACGAGCGCGCACCTGCTCGTGTCGCGTTAGAGAGATCGAGGTCAAGGGTGCAGCACGACCTCGACCGGAAGTGAATCCTGCTTCACTGAAGATAAGGGAGAACCCTCTTGCGGAAGCTTTACGTTCTTTCTGCGATTTCTCCTTGTCTGTCTGAAGGATTTCCTTTCTCCCTCCTCCGCCTCCACTCCCCCCTCCCATCTCTCTCTCTCTCTATGTTTTTTATTTCGCGATTAAAACTCATAAATGTCTCTTCATTAATTATCTAGCTGAAACGCCGTCTATTCGACTAGGGAAATTTTTTGTATAAATAAAATATGTTATTATAATCGAGCGAATTAGGGTGAATCGTGTCAAAAGATGTCGTATCATAGAACGGTGACAAAAAGCAATTATCTTCGTATCAAGAGTCTTTTGACGTATTCGTTAAAATAAGCCAATGAAAAATCATTAAAATTTCTAATTACGTTTTCTCAAACATCCAAAGAAATCATTAAAGTCTCTGTCATCTTTTCTTTGTATTTTCTTGAGAGATATTTTGATGAGAAAAATCAAACGATAGTAAGGACAAGATCGTTCAATTTTGTAAGTGAATTTTTTGGTACGATTGTTTCTCGTGATCGTTCTTGAAAGAGAAATAAGAAAGAAAGATAAAGAAAAAACAAAAAAAAAAAGAAAATAGAAAGAGAGAATCCACGAGGACAATCGGTTCGTCGAAATCGAAATAGCGAGATTCGATGAGGATCAAACTGGAACGAGATTATATCGGTAAAGCTCTACGTATAAGGAATTCGACTGGCTTTCCAGCAAACTTCTACAGACGTCTCTCGAGGATTGGCTCAAGTGCGAGATCGCAACGTGAAATTATCAAGAAGTCATTTGGAATTTGTACAAATGTTCTCATCGACGAACTAAAGTTTCTATATATCCAAATTGACATACTTTCGAAAACTTTTGTCTAAAACTTTTTAAGAATAGAGGTAGAGTAAGTTTTTGTTTTGTAGTAATAATAAACGACAAAAAAAAAAAAAAAAAAAAAACAAAAGAAGAATGAAAAATTGAATCGATCGTAAAAAAGTGTTCGACTATAAATTCGAAACAAGTGAAAACCTAACTCGATTCGAAATATTTCGATTGGAGATGTAATCAATCACTAAGAATTGTCTCGAAAGACTTTACTCGATCGAGAGTGAATCAAAAGGAAAGAAAAAAAAAACAAAGTGATTTGGAGATAAGAACGTGTCGAAGGATAAAATTAAATCTCTCGAGTCGATTTTTTTCAAGTACGTCTTCTCTCGTCTTCTCGAATTCGTCTAATATAGTCGAGCAGCGATGCACGGTGAACGGTGAGAGTTATTTCTCCGAGAACGAGAAAACATATTTACGTTGTTCGGATATTCGTCGAGGGAGAAAAGTTTTTCGTCGAAGGAGATAAAAAGAAAAGAAATAAAAAGAAGAAGACGACGAAGGGAGTCGACGAAAATGGGCAAGAAAAATAGCAAGCTCAAGCAGGATACCATCGATCGACTTACCACCAATACTTATTGTAAGTAAAATTAATAAATAAAAAAGAGAGGAGAAAAAAATGGTTGGAAATTGAAATTGGGAAAGAAATTTCAATAAAATTTATAAACAAATTTCTATCAAAATTTGTATTATCCTTCAATATTCTCGAGTTTTATAAATCATGCTCTGTATTTATAATCACTCATCGTCTTTTTTTCTTCTCTCTAGTATTCGTTTCATGATCGTCGGTACCGACCGACTTTAGAAACCGTTCCACTTTCGTATTGTTCTCTTTCTCGCGTCTCTTGCATCCGTCGTTTACCACGTTTCTACTCAATAGAGAAATAATGCTGTACGAGAGTCGTCAGATATAATCGAACCTTTAGGAACGCGTTTTTTTCATTAACGAAGAAGTCATTATGGAATAATTCGATTTGAATGATCGCTGACTATGAGAACATTTCTATATAAAAAGGTTTCTCCAAATTGATTATATCCTGATTATTTTCTCTAACTCAATTATTATTCCTATATGAAAAAATAAATTTTATATAACATGAATACTATACTATACTATACTATTTACTTTATATGCATATAAACACTTTATATGCATATAAATACTATTATACTATATAAATATTAACTTTGGTACACTTTTGGTAAAAAGTAAAAAATGTATATGCAAAAGTGAAATAATATTAATATTATGGTTTACAAAGAATTGATTTTAATCTTTTGATCACACACACATATACAAATGCGCGCACACATCGACGAAATACTTTAGTGTCTTGATATGATTTATCTAGATTATAACAGAGTTTAGTACTGTATGTATATTAAAAGGAAAAGCTTAGTAGGTTTTAGGCCACGGTAGTAAATTAGGAATGGTAATGCAACGGACAGACGATGCTTATTGTTCGCAAGGACACACTGTCTCAGGGTGTTTACACTCGATGAACGTAGCCAAGAAGCGCGGAGTCATTAGCCGACACAATGCGTTTAGTTATCCCCTTTAACGATCCATGTAATCCAGTCTCATTTAGCTCGTCGGTTAAACACCCTCTTCTCCAATGGCGATTTGTATCTAACGCGTCCTAACGAAGGATTTTAATGAGCTTGCCATTTCAAACGAATTGAAGAATAACAATGAATATTATAAATCCGAAGTAATTTCTTCTTTTTATTTTTATATCAAGAAAGAACTTTTACCAAGTTAAATGTAAATCTTAACGACCAAACTCGAAAGGTAGCTCGTATTTGTATCCTCTTTCTCTCTTTTTTCCTTTTTTTTTTTTTATCTTTTGTCCTATTCTCCCTTATATTATAGTTATTTAACGTCCTCCCTATTTTCGTTTGGATCGATTCGAATGATTATTTTATCCTGGAACGATCTCCCTATATTTTTTTTCGCATGCAAGAAACATATCGTCTATTCATTTCCGTACTGGGATGCCTTGTCTCGTGCGCCAGTAGGTATTATTATAGGGACCCTTTTTTAAGAAATAAAATAGGGAAACAGCTCGTTTATTAAACTCATCGATTAAAGCGATACACGTTGTATTCCATTCTCTTCGTACGAATGTATTAATATTTAAATTGCTATTTTTATTAAGCAAGAGATATTTTTTTTATCTAAGACAATGTTTCGAAATTCGAATCGTCGAATTCTTCAATTCAATATTTTTCTTTCCCTTTTGTCTTTTTTTTCATTTTCTTTTAGTTTTTTAAACATATGATTGAACAATTGACAATTTCAAGGGAAACGTTCTAAAATGATGAACTTTTCGGTATATCCTGTATTTACAAATGATAGCCCTATCAGATCGAGTTCCTCGAAATTTCTCGATTTCTGACAATACGCTTCGAAGATAAACGAGAACGTAGCTATTGTAAGGCGAACGTTTCAAAAGGAAGGAAATTAACGATAGCATGAACTGAATCAAACGTTCGTTTAACAACTGAGTGCAATTGTATAAAGCGTGTCTTTCTCTTCACTATCGGTATTTAAATAACTTTTCTATCATATTCTTCTATAAAATCTTGATTAAAAATCTTTACATTTATATCACTTTAAATCATATCATTTCATTATTACAATTAATTCGATCGTTCTATCATATTTTATAAAAATTAATTTTGCTATTTCTTTTTAACAATAAAAACAAAAAAAAACAGATATTCTTTTTTCAATCATATTATGAAAACGTACGTATGTAAATCAGAGCGTTAGATGTATCAAACAATATTTTTTCAGTTCGGATTAAAAAGAGGAAGTGTCATAGCGAGAAACTAGAAGACTTGTTTTATTCAACGTCTGTTGATCCTACTGTCCATCCATCCTTTTTCCATATGCACGCAGTAAAAGAGGACACATGTGTCATACAATATAACGAGACAATAGGATACGTTGCTAGCCGTGTTATCAGTTCTAGAAAAAAAGTTTGCTTTTTTTCCTATCATAAAAAAAGAAAGCGAGAGAGAGAGAGAGAGACAAAGGATGACTTCGAGAGTCAACAAAAAAAAAAAAAAAAAAAGAAAAGAAATGTTCGGATGGAGGGGTGAAAGTTGACGCTCTTTTTTTTTCTCTCTCTCTCTCTCTCTCTTTCGTTCTTTGTACTTCCATCTCTCTATATATAGATATACATATAATATATGTATGTAGATATATATGCGAGAGTATATAACCGAGCAACGTTCGTTTTAGTTTAGCTATCGTTTCTACCTACAGGCGGGATCGTACGATATATATGTCGTATACGAAACGATGGCGGGGGTGGCGGTGGCGGCGGCGGCGGGGGCGGCGGCGGCGAGAGGGCGAGGCGAGGACGAACGACGATCGATGTCTGTGCTTTTCCACTCTTTGGTCACGCACCTACGAATGCATACGACGAGAAAACTTGCTTCGGTGTGCGCGAACTACCCCTCGACAATTACTACATCTTCCTCCTTCCCACCCTTAACCACCCTCATTTTACTGATTCTCCACCTTCGAAAGACTGTTCCAATTTATTCTCATACTTTCGTACCGCATTCTATGATCAAATTTTCGCGCTCTCCAAAGATAGAATGTGACCAAAGAGTACATACATTTATATATATATATATTTTTTTTTTTCTTTCTCTTTCTCTTTCCGTTTCTATTGCACTCTTTCTCTGTTTCTTTCTATTCCTATTCCTATTGCTCTTCCCTCTATTCCTTTCTCTTCCTATTACCCTTGTTTTCTCTTTCTTTCTCTTTCTGTTGCTCTTCTCTGTCATTTTCTCATAATAATTCTCTTTCCCTTTTCCTCTTTCTCTTTCTAGTTCTCTTTATTTCTCTTTCTCTCTTTTTTTTTTCTTCTTTATTTCTCTTTCTTCATCCCTTGTCATAATTTATTTAGGAAGAGAGGTTTCTAAAAGAACACGTATATCAAAGGAAATATGAATTTCTTCGTACTAACGAGCGTTTAATGTTACGTATCTTTGCTCGCTTTTACGTGTTAAGTAAATGGTGTAGTTATTACTTGGTTATAATTTAAAAAGGTATTATAATAATAATGTCACTTTTCAAGTAAAAACTTGGGAAATATTTTTTATCTTTCTCCATTTTTTTGTTTTCTTTTTTCTATTTTTTTTTTTCATGTCAATTTAATGTCTCGAGAAAATTTTTCTCGATATAAAGAACAAGTTCAATCGAATTCCATCGTTCAGAGTGAACTTTCGGATCGGGCTAGAAAAAGAGAAAGAAAGAGAGAGAGAGAGAGAGAGAGAGAGAGGAAGGGGGAGAGAAAGAAAGAAAATAAGAAGTCGTGCTTGGGTTGGTTGAGGAAGCAGAAAACGAATCTTTCTTTGCTAATATCGACGACAACGAACTATGTCGAAGAGGTCGTTTGATCGATATCCTTGAATAGTACGAAGGTATTGTCGTCATCGATGTATTATATTATATATTATCCCATGAAATCGAGTATTATCGTAAAATCGTCGATATACATCATAAAATATTCTTTAAGTTAAAATTGACTCGCGTGTAATTTGATAAACACATACTCGTACATAATATCTATCTATCTATCTATCATTCTATCTATCTATCTATCTATCTATCTATCTATATATATATATATATATATATATACATACTTACACACGCGCGCGCGCGAAAAGAAAACATTGGTATCTACGGAGAGAAATGAATAAAAAGTATTTTTACTATCGCAAAATAAAATTTATATAAATGATTTAACACTTATAAATAATCCTATATTTTAACAAATACAATATTTAAAAGAAATCGATGAATAATATTTTTTCAAATAAATAATTCTCCATATTGTTCTGGATAATGTTAATCTTATTAATACAACATAATAGAAGCCGATAAAATTGAAGAGTACAATAGAAATTATTACAGACTTAACAAAGCATAAATAAAATAAATCAGATGAATACATTATTCGTAAACAATTATTATACGTAACACAATAATTCAATTCATCTCTCTCTTCTCTCTTTCCTATAAATCTAATTTTAATTGAATCGATTATATATTACAACATGCACGTTTACTTATTACACTTTTTCCATAATGTTTTCTATATTTCAAGATGTTTCTTCGATTTTTGTCTATTACGTTTGAAAAATATAGTTAATGTTTGTCCATCAAACATTACCTGTGCGAGTGGATTCGAAGGTCGATCGATAATGATGCAGTAGCATCAGCTTGTCTAGATATTACACGTGTGCACAAGTGTGGCTGAACAATTACCGGTCCGGTTGCCTCGACGACCCTTCATTTTCCAACTTCTGAGAGCACTCGCTCGTCTGTAAAACGATGTAATCCTCTCTATGTTTCTCGTTTTTTCGAAACTAGCTTAGAATGCTTTTAAAATTTTTACTAATCATTTTTTTTCTATTTTTTCTCCTTCATTATTATTGTTTATGACACGAGATATTATATGTGTTAACGCTTTTTAAATTCTCATATATTTGTTTATTTAGCGATTAAAATCTCTTAAGAGAATTCATTTTCAACGATATCATGTTTTATATCAC